TTTTCTCCATGCAAAGTCTATTTCCTAACTTGATATCATGGCATGGTCTCTCTGTATTAGCGTTCACAGACCCTAATTTAGTAACACCCTAGGTATCTCTAACTATCTGGAGGTATTGCCAACCCTTCAAAACAAAATTTTAATTGCCTTCGTTTAAATAGAAGTGTGTACAGTTACATCTCTTTTAGGGACTAATTGACATTACATCCAAAAAGATGGCAACAGTTGAAAAAAAAATACAGGGAACACATGGAAATAGGGGGATGTTCTTAGTCCTGGAATGAAATGGGTTTTTGAAATATTTTTAAGTGGAAAGAAACTAGGCTGTTGGTTGGTTTGTTTTTTTACCAACAAATATGTAAAATAATGTTCCAGAACCAAAGAACGCATGACAAGCAAACATCTTTTCACTTTCTCAAATTCCAATGTTTTCCCTCACATCATGAGGAGGCACTCACCCTTTGTCTTAAGCTCTGTTGACTACAAAGGAAAGTCAGTTCTCACTGTCCCTGCACGCCACATGGGTTGGTAATAGAAGACAGCGGTGGAATTCATCACTACCAGACATGGGCATGTGATTGTGGAGAAAGTTTGCTTAACCAAACTAATTGAGCAAAGTGCTGCCTGCTATCTTCCTATTGAATTTCAGAGGGGACCAAACCACACTTCCTGAGTTTTGCTTAACTCACTCTTTAAAGAATGTCTCTTTAAAACCTGTGCCTTCGGCTTTGATGACACAGAGGAAAATGTCGAGTCTGTTTCATCTGGGTTGAATTGAGATGTTTGCCCCTTGAAGGGCTGGGGCTGTGTCTTTGTTGTTCACAGCTTCGTCCTGAGAGCCTGGCATAGGTGCCCAGGAGGACACAGTAGGCACTCAGCAGGTGTTTATTGAATAAATACATGAACTTTTTCCTGAGAAGATGAGTTATTCATCGTGCAGACTCATGCACGCACAGATAGGCACTTACCCCTATATGCTCGGCAGCTCACCCAAGCTCTCGCCCAGCTCCCCTTCACCGAGGATCCCCAATGATGTACTGTCTCAATATTTCATGAAGAAAGGTTTGATGTTGCGGTGATTCAGAACAAGAGCAGGGTGAGCCGTATTGAACTTCCAAGGCATATGATCAGGTCATGTAGATGTCCACTTCTCTTCACTGATGAGAATATAATCATTTAAACAGAAGAATTAGGCCCTGAAAACCCACGCCCTTCCCTTTGTGGCAAGACTGGGTAGAGGCCTCAGGAAGAGCCCTGATGGAGAGGGGGATGGAGCAACTTGAGTAGAAGTCCTCTTAAAGCTGGGCCCAGTCTTCACCACCAGTGAGCCCGTGACTCATCCCAAGCGTGTCAAACTGGCGGCCGGCGGGCTGCATGCGAGTTTGACATGCTTGTCAGGCCTCAGCAGCTCTCAGCCGTATTCACAGCCCCACCACTGAGTGGGTGGGCCCACTTGTGGTCAAGGGTAATATGTAAATAAATAGCTGTTACCAGATAATGCCAGAACAGAAGCTAAGCGGAGCATGTGTGTGAGTGAGTGTTTGTGTGTGTGTGCTGG